AAATAGAATATTATCATTAATATACTAATTTTCGCAAATTTGATGCGATAAAATGGATAAAAAAATCAGAATATAAGTAAAATACTAATCGGTAGGAGAAAAAATAAAAATAAAAATAAAAGTCAAATTGTCAAAACATTTAAGAAAACAAAGCCATTGTTCTGAGATATATTTTTGTTATGTATTCTAGAATATATATATATACATTTTCTTTTCATCAGTATCACAGAGGTTATTGTTAAAAGGTTAATCTTAACTCTTCTTAGATGCATTTCCCGTATAATCACCTACATTTAAATTTAAAATTGTTTTATAGTTAACATGTGAATTATAAATTCTATAAACATAGTAATCTTAATTGGGATGTCCATTCTACAGAAGGTCGTTCACACTTTATGAAAACGGTTTTGTAATTAATTTTCTCATTTTCATTTTGAGATAAAACTTTGGCAACTTCAGAATAATTATCCACTAATGTTTTCCTTTGACTGGTTGGTTGATTGATTGAATATTAACGTCGCACTGTTCAGCTACACGAGGGCTTTTGGCGACGGACCACGTAATTTTGAACCATGGTCAAGTGACGTGGACGACACCTGAGCTGGCACACCCTTTCCTAACTGCCACACCACACCAACGGGATGACGTTTCAGCTCTCGACAGATTTAACGTGCATCTCTGCCCTACACGGCGGGTCTTTAGTGGTACTGGGCTCGAACTCATGACAAGGTAAGACACGTTCCGATACGTATACCACTCGGCTACCGCGGTCACTTCTTTTGACTGGAATGTAAAATAAAAGATTTATATTAAAAATGGTTCTTAAAATTGATATACGGCTTGAAGGTTACGTAACTGCGCCTTCCGAAGAGAAATATTCGTATGAACAAATTATAAATCGGTGTAAAAATATCGGTTATTGCATTTATTTAAAACGTATTTATAATATGTTAAGTCTGAAAGAGAAAAAGCATCTAGAAGAAAGTAAAAATGTAAACATGACCACAATACTTCATCCTAAGAATGTTCAAACGCAGGCAACTATCAAGAAAGTGAAGTGTCTGATCCTAAATAAAATACGCTGACTGAAAGATTCATTGCATCGTAACTAAGAATATCTTCCAGAACTGTAATTAAAATCATTAATAAGGACTAAAAGTTAAAACAAATGTTTAAAACTAAAGTTAACCTCCCTTTTTAAATCCTATTGCTGAAAAAAAAACCCCAAAATTGTTTAAAATTATGTAAAACCACTTGGCTGCTAAAAAACGGAAATTTGTGGTAACACTCGATAAGACATGGGTATATTTAATTGACTGTAGTAAAAAAGATGAAATTTCTATCGCTCCACTGACGGAAATGACAGTACGAAATGATTTATTAAGTGCCCAGAGTAAAGTTCCTAAAGGGATTCATGATAGTTGCAGGATTTTATAAGAACGGCAAATTAAAAATCAAAAAAGTCTCAAGTAAAGCCTAAATTAATTCACTTTACTATCGGCAGTTCTGAACCAATTTTTGAAGAAGAAATTCCAACTTTACGCAGAAAGGACATTCATAAAGTTGAGTTTCAAATGGACCAAGCCTCTAGTCAGACGTCTAAGTCAACTGCCGCTTATATTTAGAAAAGAAATAATCAGAAACAGGAAGTAAGTGTTATCTCATTTGATGTGAAATACGTGTAAAATCACCCTACACTTCTGCAATGGACTTCTGAGCTTTTGGCTTTTCAAAACGAGCCTTAGGAAAATGGCATCCAAAAACATTGAACGGACTTTAGAAAACGGTTCAAGAGCAATAGAGTAAAATTTGCATGACATTAGTAAGAAAAATTTCACTTTCATGAAACATTGGTACTAGAATTATTGTCAAGAATCAGGGGTATCAGATAGAATCAAATTTCTATAAGAAATACGGTTTTTTGATAAAAATTTACTTATATTGAAAACTCCAATTTTCTTATGGAAAAACTTTTTTTCATTAAAAGAAATGTTGGCACCATATACTTGCAACTAATAATTATTTTCTTTTAAAAATTCGCTTGCTCTTTTTCTCTTTGCATTATTAAAAAAAATACATGTATTGCATTTTTTTTCAAATGAAAGTGTTTTTATTCATATTTAGCAATTATCAGTGATATGCAGCAACAATATGTATAATTATAAGGCACTACCCCATTCAAATAAATGTATTTCAATGTTATTTAAATTAGTTTTGGAAAATATTGTACAGGAAGTTCTTTATACACTATCTACCAATAAGCAATTGTTTACCTGTGAGAAAAGAGACGAGCAAATCTTATTCATATTAAATAATTGGTAGAACATCTGCCTGAGGCAGTAACAGAATTAACTCTCATGGGCATGCTTCAAACAAGTTTTTGGATGACAGACAGTGGTACTTTCTTCTACTCGGCTTAGATAAGACATGTGTTGTTGTTGTTGTTGCTCATGCCACCTGTCTGACATAGTCAGATCGAGGCCCACGAAATTCATCTTGGCAATGGGCTAGAAGTACGTTTGTCGTTGGCCTTAGCCTTGAGAACCAAACAGGTGACAGTACGATTTAGCTCGGTGAAATTCCCGAAGGGACGATAGATGGCGACACCCCCTATCTCCACCTCCACAATTTAGGCATGGAACTGAATTGGAGGGAAATGTTCTCCAGTTCCCTGCACTCATGATTCAGCCCACAAGACTTTCGGACCCTTTTATTTAACGAGCACATACTCCGCGTGTACTCGGAGGGTATTTGGCGGTACGGGTATCGAACCCAGGCCTTCCGGTGCGGGGTCCGGGGCTCTAGGCTACCCAAGGCCTAGTTAAGACATGTAAGTTTATTCACCGATTTTGAATGATTGATGCACGCCTTAATCCGGCTATACAACTCATCCCAGGGGTTTTTAATAGGATTCAAGAGTGAAATCTGGACAGGTCAGTCCATGCAGTTCACCCCATTGTCCTTATACCAATTTTTGGTAGATCTCTCAACATGACAAGTGGCGTTTGTTAGCAAGTAAATTCCTCACAGCGTAGGAAGCACATTTTTGTCTATAATAGTTTAGTAGGAGTCGACAATGATCATACCATGAATTGGGATCGAGGGTCTCAGTCCATACCACTTGAAACATCCCCAGACCATAATTCCACCTCCACCAAATTTTACAGCAGATGCAATGTAAGAAGTACTAGTAAAAGGCGATCTCCAAGATTACGCCAAGCCCGGATTCCACCATCCGACTGGTAGCGATTGTACCTCGATTCATCACTCCAAGGAACTTGTTTTTAGTCATCTACTATTCAATTTCGGATTGCCTTGCACAATCTCAGCCGAGCAACGTAGTTGGAGTTTGTAATCCATAACTTATGAGTGGTAGTTTGACAATGGAAACCAATCAAATTTGCTTCCTTGCGGATAGCATTTATCGAAACAACAGTCCTGGTTGCTTCTTGAAACTCCTGGAGTATATGGATCATCGGTTTAGCGCATTTTTTTCCGAATTTCTTTCGACAACACTCGCCGGTCTCTGTGTAAGACATAGAGTTGGAATGTGCTTTGACACGGCAGACCAACGAAACTGTGGGTCCGCTATAGTGAAAAAGAAAACAAACGCCCCTCACCGACAAACACCACTCATCTTCCAATTTTCAATCACAAACGCCACTGTTGGTTTTGGAATGTTTTACTCACAAGATATGCCCCTTAAGGCCAGCCATTTATATCATATCCGACAATTACACCTTCTCGAAGTCAGACAACTTTACATTTCATGGCATCTTGCATGTTACTAATGCCCCAATGCTGTTTTTCCTACACGATATTTAAGTACAAAAGGTGTGAAGTAGATAATGACCATAGATATCCTCATTTGCATGGGTGTCCCATTATTTATTGGTAGATAGTGTCGTAAGAACTTACATAAATCAAGGGTTTTTTCTTTAAATTTTCTTATAATTTTGGAACAACGTTTTTTCACAAAAAAGGAAATTCAAGAATATTTAATAGCATAGATAATATTTAAGAATTGAGACTTCTAAAAATCTTAAATACTCCTGAAATATTCAAAAGTAATTCAAGAAAATCTACCAGAGTTTTCTAAAAAGAAAATACGAGAAAAATATAAATTCAAAGCAATATAAAATTAACTGTGTGTGTGTGGATAAATATTTACTTATGCATAGATAGTATAATTATACAGTTTAAGTATAAATTAGAAATGTGTGAGATAATACATCATTTTTTAAAGAAAACGATGTCTTCTAAACCTGCTCTCGATAATTAGAAACAGAGCTAATAATCTAGGCTTAGTATACGTTCCCCTAGGCATATATTTAATTAAAAAAGGTCATTATGGAATACCAAATTAATCGCTTTTTCTTGCTGATAAGCTTATTAATATTTTTAAAAATCTAAACTGTTATAATGAAAAATTAGGCTATTTTTTAAAAAGATACACGGCAATCAATTATGTCAATGATATGAGTTTCAGTTCTTTTTTTGTAACAAAATACAAGCCATATTTCATGATCCCGTCATTAATTAATGTACGCCTTATTTCCAATGCTAACTAGAAGGAGAAAGTATGAGAAAATAAACTCGAAATTAAATTTTTAACCATAGCAGGTAAAACAATAAGTGAAATATATTATTAGTGTTTAGTTAACGTCACGTCAGTTACAACGGACATAAACATCGTGGTTGTGAAATTTGACCAAGTGACATAAAATATATGAGCTAGTAAATTTATTTTTCAATTCCTACTATTAGTTTAAACTCTCCCTATATATATATCTTGTTCAAATTTTCAATTGTTAATTAAATACTTTTAATTCATCCACTCAAACTCAAATACGTTTTTTAAACTCGTAGTGGATGACACATGATGTTAATGCATTTTTTTTCAAATATTAATTCACTAAATCTATTTAATTAATGGATAAATAATAAAAAACCAAAATAATATTCCAACACCATATATACAAAAGGAAATCGCTCATTGTGTCCCTGTAGCACAATGGATAGTGCGTTGGATCTCTAACCCAATGGTCGTGGGGTCGAATCCCACCCGGGATGGCCTAATTTCTGCGAATGTGATTTCATTCTACTATATAAAAATTTATAAAACTTATAAATATAACTATTAATGAATAAATAGAAGTACGCAAAACTAATATTCCACCACCGCCATATACACAGAAAGGAAAATCGCTTTCTATTTTGCAACTTAATATTGGGATTCTGTGACATATGTATATTTAGAAATTTATATTAATTGCAATAATTTCATAAAAAAATAACTAAAATAAAATGTTTTTATTTGATCTAAGTAGGACTTTAAGACTAAGTAAGACTTTAAGACTATTTTTTTTCTTATTACTTGTTGTGGGTCAAATGACTGCCATGTAGTTCAATGAGCAGGGATTGGCGCAACCCCAGATAACCCTGGAGCTGTTGGATTCATCGAATAAACAGACATTATAATAAAATCAATACTTTATTTTGTTTTCAATTTACTATCAGAAAATTGTTTCAGGAGTTCGCCCATGTGTGGGTTCAAAAAATAAAAAAAAAACAATTCTCATAAGTTGCTTCCCTAGCACATATAGAATACGGTTGTAAAGGGATTTTTTAAAATTAGAGATCGTTATAAAGGAGTAAGTGTTAGAAGGGTAGCTGTTCGTAGCGCTAAGTTAATATTTTCATTGTTTTTATCGGACTTGAAACTTTAAACGCGTTTTTCTCAAAACTGTGTTTTTCAAATTTTCCTCCATCATATCTCAAAAACGGTTGGCCCGAATGCCTTCAAATTTATAAGGTAGATTCAGCAGACATAGACGCACCAAATCTTCGTTCATAGTAAAATTCAAAATATTTCTATTTTTTATAACAAAAACAACAAAAAACCCTTGAAATTCGGAAAATTTTCTTCAGAGGTCTACCAAAAATCCAATTTTTGATATTTTCAATTGAGTATAATTCATTCAGTGCCTTTAAGCTTAGAAATTAAAACGCCGTTATTTTTTTTTTTTTTATTTCAGATAAGCTATTTAGCCGGAATCGTGGGGGAAGTGAGCGTCCATTTTTTCGAGGCGGGTGTGTTCAGAGCGATATAACTCACGTTCTATTGGATAGTATTGGTAAAATATTCATATGCATACTCTTATATAAACTATTTATAAATAAATGATAAAAAAACTTAAAGCATTATCTTTTTACTGGTCGTCAAATAAATTCCCTAAAAATGCTTTAAAAAACCGGCCGTCACATGGTTGAACCCCCTTAACCAAAGAGATGAGTCAACTTTTTTAATTACTAACTTAAATACCTATTACAAATAATTAGATCACTTATCTATCGCTTTGATCCGACGTATTGGTACTGGTTCTGACTTGAAGAGATAACCTGTTCAGTAAGACAACGTTTCTTGAATTGTGGGGCGTGCCCTCCTAGGGGGTGTGATAACTCTACGAGGAGGGCGCGAGCAAATTGAAAAGTCGAAAACAGAAGACTATTTAACAAAATTATTAATTTAATGAAAGTAAACAATCAAAATATATTCTGGCATAATAAAAAAATGAAATTAACATTTACACTGATATAATACACTTATAAATGTATCAGTACGGAATGCAATGTATTTTATAATTAATTTAACAATACTAAATTAAAACCGTTTAATAATTACCAGTGACTCTATGGGCATGTCATAAATAAAATTATATACAAAAATTAACACTTATCTTGAAAAAATTTTGTATGGTTTATAAATAATCCTTTAACTACCGATTAAGAGTTACGCGATTCGCTCCCCGATGCCTCCGTTCTCCCCGTAAGGGCACGTATGTGATGTGTTAGAGAGGGTGTGGCTGGAAAAGAAATAAATAAAAAAAATCTTCTGTGACATAAAAAAAACTCTTCGTAAACATTGTCAAGATACTTTTATAGTATTCTAAGACCTTCGGAATAATTTTATGGATAGAAGTGCACAGAAAAGAACATTATTTGGAAAGGCGTATATATACGCCCGGGCCATTTAACTCAAGGGTTGGGTGAGACGTATATATACGCCGGCGGCACTTTAGAGGTTAAAGTCGTATTGTAGCTTTAGCGCAAGAATATAGTATTATTGAATTCAATGTATTGTTGTTTGTATGGAGGGGCATGGGGGGCGATGAAAATTGATTGAATATTGGGTCGCCAATATTAAAAGTTTGAGAAGCACTGCAGTAAGACGTAGGATTCTCTTCCTGAAACTCCGAGAGCTTCGATTATTATGATTCTAATAATCAAACTTAAGTCAACCTAAAGACCATCGACTACACTCACACTTCGTTACAGTTTTAATAGCACCTGGAATTTGCATAAATCAAGCTATTCTACGAGAAGCGACTTTATAATCATGCAACAGTAAAATAGCATTTTTCCCAAGAGGATTAGAAAGAATTGCGAATAGGACCTACTACAGTTTGAATAAAAGTACAATGTAACAAGACGTCTGTTTAATTAATTAGTTTAGCATCATTGTTGTAATAAAATACAGATTTAATGCTTATAGAAAGAAGCATGATTCAAATTAAGTTTAAAGAAACATGATTAAAACATAACATAATGTCATACTCCGAATGAACGGATAATTCTCCAGTTAATGAAATAAATGTACCATTTATAGGAGCCTATTACGGGATTATATTTTTAATCAAATGTGTTTATTGTAACAACAGCCTTATAACTAAGACTGTATTTAATCAGTAAGGCGTGATTGCGGTCGGTAGCCTAGTAGTTATGAGAAAAACCACTAGACTATCGCTACTATTTATGCTTCCAATATACAATAATTATTTAGTGCTATTGCAGGTATTTTACCCTTATAAAGAGTTTCATATCTAAAGAACAAGGCACCCTGGATTTTGTCTCAGTAATCTAATTTTTTTTTCTCTTCCTAAAAATGAAGAGAAAAAAATGTATTTCTAAAAAAATATATTATTTCTCAAGGAGAAAATTATTAATAAATCATTATTTAAAAAATCCATATACAAGACCATCAAATATTTCCTTACAAGTCTTCAATGCCTGCCAAAATCTTCAATAAATTTAAAAAATAATTAACGTTTAAAGAAAGTGCGTTGAGAAATTCTTCAAATAATTGACGACACTTTTCACATTCTTATTTTGGAAGATTCTTTTCTGAGTCCAGCAGCAATTCCCGTTCTTTTTCTACAATCTAATTCATTCAAAATCGGAAAATATATCTTAAAAATAATTCCCAATAATCTTTAAAGAGACATTTTTTTCATCAAATATTTATTATTTCTTCATTACACATTTTCTCTTTTAACATTCATTTCATTTTCTTTCTTTCCTCCTTAGCATTTAGTTCCTTTCGATCTTCTAAACCGCGGAATTCGCGAACACGCTTTGGAAGATTTTCGCATGAAGCAGATGTATTAATTCCCAAGGCTGAACACAAGAAGTTTCTTCATGCATAAATAGAATCAAAGTTAAACGAATCGTGCAAAATGTCTTTTACAAGAAATTTCAATTTGCGCCTCCTCGCCAAAAGCAAAATACGTATTAATCTTATTAAATGTTTCTGCGCCAAATGATTTATCTCTCTGTTGCCACTTAAGAATTCTTTCATGTTAATGAAGAACAAGCAAAGCGTTTTATGCTTCTTGAAAATAAAAAAATAAATAAAAAATCCGTATACAAAACGCCGAAACTGCATTTTGCTACCTGCAATAAAAAAAGAACAGAGGAACGATACATTTTTTGCTTCTTTTTTATGTACAAATTAGAATGACACTAAAAAAAATGGAGTTTGTCGAACACAGCGAATTTTATTTTTAATTTAAAAGTTCTAATATAATTTTATCGATAAATTTATTTCTTAATTTAAAATAAAATCAGTGAGAAAAAGATGGTGGTGAGAGGACTTAAAAGGGCTTAAGAATTCATATGAAATAAGTGTGGATTATAGTACACACACACACACACATATATATATATGATAAAAGATACTTTTTTAATTTTAGCATTACAAAAATGACATTCTGGTGTGGTTTCCTACACCTATCGATATTTAGATGTATTATCTTAAATTTTATAAAAAGAAACAAACAATTAGTTACTGATAATGAACTAAAACCTCGTAATTATAAGAAATTCTGCAAAAATTGCTTGGAATACAACAATCCTAGAAATTCATTTTTAAATATATTTCTATATTATTTCAATATTTTTTTGGGATTCTTTTAATTTAGCTTATTAATATTATTAAGATAACGTATTCTTAGTTTAATTACAAAAAAAACCATTTAGGTGATGACTTTGTTTTTTGCTTCTATGCGTTAACACGTCAACATTAACACATCATTCTGCGAGAAATTTCTAAGATGCCTAGAGAGTATTTCCATGTGAGTTTTTATTCTGGTTTTTCGTAATTTTTTTTTCTGAATATTCATCTCTATATGGGAAATTCTTCTATGCTCACTATTCATACTTTCATTTATTCTTACTGTCTTGTATTCCTTCCCGGTGTGATAGATAAAGACCTAATTCTTCAACACGGTTCTGCTTTTTCTATTATGTCAAAAATTTCTGATGTACTGGAAAGGTAGATCCATAAATCATTGATTAATCCTATATTGCTAGACTACTGCAGCGACAACTTTAGAAATCATAATAAGTCTTCATTTTAGTCCAAAGACTGTTTTGGTATCTTCAATTTAAATAGCTCTACACCTTTGTTACTTGTTTTGTCTGTTTTTATCCAATTTTAGTACAATATTCTTTGGCAACATTTATTTTCTTGATATGTTTCTTAAAATCCAATTTCTTTCTTTTTTAGCCTTATAGGAAATACCATTTTGTCTCTTATTATTTTATTTTATTTTATTATACTATATATAAATACATTTATATCTGTGTGTATGTGTATATATTTCTACTATTTCGTATTTAGTAATTATATAGTAATTTAATACATTGATGAGCTATATTTTTAATAATGGAGCTTTTGTAAATATGATATACGTGATAATATTTTTAAATACTTACTTTATTAGTAATAAGCA